TGTACAGATGTAGTAATATATATGATAAACTCATTGAAGCAATAAATTTTTTTGATTTTATTCTTGAACAGAGTTACGATGTTCTAAAATGAGCTATTTTGGGATAAATTTTGGTTAATTAGTTGTTTATGTTATAACATCTTCATACTTTAAGCTAAGTTAATGATTTTGCTTCAATGAGTATCTTGTTATAATATAAGTAAACACTGGAAGTTTGAGCTTTCATAGAAACTACCATTATCTCAATACCTATCGATGAATCTCCTGGCTTTTTTATCTTTTGTGACACAAAACTAGAGTCGAAATGTGAAATTTTTATTTTTTGTTTTTTTCTAAAGCAATTTTTTAATATTATCTGAAAAATAATATTTGTTGAAAGTAAACGATTTTAGAAATTTGACCATCTTAATTTATTGTAGTTGTTAAATAGATGTTATTAAATTTATTGCAGTTAATAAATATTCATTACAGCTAGTAATTAATACTCTAATAGCAGTTTTCATTCAACTTGATTAGAAATCATTGAAAGCCTATTTTCATAGAGATTTTTTATGTATCTATAATTCCATAAAATATTGATTAAATTTAATTTCATTATTTTTTTTTTCAAGTTTAAATTTATTTTCACTAATTAACCAATTTTATTAGATTTAAACTTAAAAAAGAAAAAGGTTGTAATTGCAAAATTAGTAATTGCAAAATATAGTAGTTGAAAAAGTATTTGAGTATATATAATAGTTGCTCTATTGATACATTTATACTAGTTTATTTGAGTTAAAATGTAAACGAATGATATCTCATTTTTTTATAATTTAACTTAAACTTACGCAAAAAATCTAAAGATTTTTTGCGTAAGTAAAGCGTAGCTTTTACGCAAACTTAACTTTACGCAAACGCTGCGAAATGTTTGTGGATATCAAATAGTTATGAAAAAAAAAAATCTGCGTACGATTTCCGTAAGTTACGCAAGAGTTACGAAAGTTTTGTGAATCCGCACCCAGAAACTTCATTGATGTGTTTCAGGTCCAAAAGTATCAAATAAATGGGAAATGTTTAAAACTCAGTATATAGTTACGAAGGTAGACGTGCACCTTTGTGCGCAAGCACTTGACCACTATAGCGTCTATGTGATCAGCAGTACGTTCAGCCTGGTGTAAATAACCTACCTGACCAAATGAAGTGACTGCGTGACTAGCAGCTTATTTATTTTGCTATAAAAGCCCAGCCCATTGTTTCAGCGCTGATTTTTTCATTCGAGGTCTCAATGTACAGTATCAGACAAAACAAGTGCAACCAAATAAATTTTTGGCTTCTGTCATTGTCTTGCTGAAAAACCCATTTTATTGGCGTATTTCATTCAGCATGAGGTAACATAACATCTTTCAGGATATTTTTATACATAAAACGGTCCATTATTCCATCGATTCGATGTATTGCACCTAGACCGTTAGCATAAAAACATCCCCAGACCATTACATTGCCTCTACCATGCCTCACGGTCTTATGGCAGTAACGTAAATTGAGGAGTTTTCCGGCCGGTCGACGTACACGGCAAATGCCATCGCTCCCAATGATGTTGAACTTCGATTCATCACTGAACAGGACAGTTCGCCATTTCTGCACATTTCAGTCAATATGAGATGTAGCAAACAGGAGTCTTTTCTTCTGATTCTTTAGTGAAATCAGAGGTTTCTTTGGAGGGAGTCAAGAAAACAATCCGGCTTCAACAGCACGTCGTCTGATTGTTCGGTCCGATACAGGCAGCTCAAATTGCTTTTGTATCTCGACTGATGACATCCAGGGATCCTTCTTGACGGATCTGAAAATCATAGAATCCTCTCTAGAAGTGGTGGAACGCGGTCTTCCACCTTTGTTATCTGCTGCCAACTTCCCCGTAGAACGATATTTGGATCCAAGACTGTCGGGAGCCATTTTTGCACTTGAAGTCATAAAAATGAAAAAAAAAAAAAGTTTACCGTATTACATTTACCTTGTGATGATACAATAATGCTCGGTGGAACACAACGTCTGGTTACTTCCTTTAATTATCAAAAAACTTCCGTGACGTTGACACGGACCAGACTTAAGAAAATGAAACAAACCAAAAAAGTTGCACTTGTTTTGTCCGCTGCAAAATGGCACTTGTCAACGAAATTCTGCCTGTGTGCTGTCACCTATCAGCTGATTGCTCATGTCATGGCATGCTATGACTCCAGACTCCTGAACTGTTTGTTGTGGTTGTATAGTTCGTTTTGTTTTTAAGACATGTAAAATTAGGAACACTTTAGCATTGTTTGATGTTGGTTGCAAATGTTTTGTCCAATACTGTACATCGATTCACCAAGCCAACGAACACGGATTGTTCAGTCAAAATTAGAAGCAATACTGTATTTTGCAAAATTGTAGTGTACCAAGAAGAATCCATGTTTATCAGTAAATCCATGTTGCAAAGTGGTTTACATTTAACTGGACCAATAATACACCTGTGTTCAGTAAGACCTGGTTCTAAAGTTCTCTTATATAATGACGCAACCAAAATAGTGGCGCAGGAACTATACAACCACTACCAAACTTTTATGACTTTTGTTAAAAAACAAAAATTAAAGTTACAAGAAAACAAGTTTATGTTTACAGAAAGCTCAAGATTTCAACATGCGTATGACAAGCAGACCATACGAAATAAGAACAAATGATATAGCATAACAACAAAAATTGGAAGTGTTGTTCGGCGTTAACAAGAAATTTCATTATAATTATTGCTATGGGTCTAACTTAGCAATTTGCTCATCAACAGTTTCACAGAAATGGAAACAACAGGCGAAGAGAAACGAAGAAAGACATTAGTCAAATGAGAAAAAGCAGAATGTTATGGAGGAAACCAGTAAGGAGGAAAAAGTATGCAGAAATCTACAGTATATGGATGTTCTAAACACGAATGATGTTTAAGGAACCAACTCGAAAGACGAAGATTAAAACTTTGTTACCGCGCTTCTAATCATGCCTAAAACACCGCCTTCAAGTTTGAGAAACGAGCCTCAGTAAGAACTAGTTGTAAATGTTTAGACGAAATTATATTTTTTCATTTTTTTAAATATAGGTTGTTTTTTATATATATGCGTGCTTATTCATTCTTAATGCGCGTTTATATGTGAGCCAACTACTATAAAATCTCTAATATAATTTTACATAAACAATATATAAATATATGTTTTATTAAATATTCTATATTAAATATCATATAAATATTTTTGGCTTTTATATAGATATATTCATAATATAAACTAGGTTGTTGCCACTGCTGTTAATTTTTTTTTTTTTTTTGTATGTATTTAGGTGCTCCCAGAAGTCCTTACGGTCTTATCATAGAGCACCGCGGGTGAGCATTTAACAGGAAGTTTACGCCTCCTTGCGTACCAATGTCGCTTGTTGGGCTGGAGCTGGCATCAAACCTCGAATCTCTGGATTCTGAGCCAGAACTCTAACCACTGCGCCACGGCTGCTCATTTAAAAAATGGTTGCCGAGCCAGCGTTGGATTTATGTAACTACGCATATGGTTGTAAAATGGAATTAAACTCTGTAGTATCCGTAATATTTTTAAGTTTCCCGATTACCACATCCGTTTTTCGAGGCCTTTCTCCCTGTTTGTAAGTATGCTTTAAAAAAGAAAAAAATTATTCTATTGGATTAAGCTGTGGCGTGTATGCTAGCAGATACTTAACAGCTATGCCATGAAAGGCTAGTGTCAAGTAGTATCTAACAGAAAAACTCCAGTGGAATTTACCATTGTCCATAACAAACACCGGTGCTTCAAATTTGCATTCCTAATAGCTGGTGCCAACATTGTTGTAATGAAAGTAAAAAATCAATCTGCATTTCAGCCTCTAGCTTTTATTTCATAAGCCAGCACTCCCATTGTTAAAACAGCACAAATCAAACTAACATTCTTGTCACGATTTGCAGACAACTGTTAAATAGCTGGCGCACCTCTTAGCGAATAACCTTATGTGCTGTTAGCGTGCACATTAAATCCAGTTTTATTCAAATAAATAAGTTTTACATTTGAAATTCCATTAATTTCGCTTGCAAATGCATTAAAAAGCCTGCTGCAGAAAAATTTTCTTTTATTGATTCATGCGTACAAAGATTGTTTTCTTGTACGCATAATTCAATAATATTTTTTATTTGAGCATTTATAGGTCTTTTACCTCGTTTTTTTATTAGAAAACGACTTGAATGCAGTCACGTCGTCGAATTGTTCTCTGTTTAACATAACGAAAAAGATCTGTGCGCTTAGATAAATTAAGAGGAGTGGAAATGCTTTTTGTAGATTCTTTTCTTTCAACTAAATGCTAAAGTTGTGCTCTTTTATAACATTCCTCTTTGTGCTCTTTTGTAACATTTTCCCTTGTTTTTCGATTGGCACTGCTATTTTCTCTTGCATCCATGGGGTAAATATTTGTGTATTAATAATAATTATAAATAATTAAATTTAAATCTAGATAAATGAATAATTAAATAATTTAATCAATCAATAAATTTAATAATAAAATTAAACAAAGACATAATACTAAATTAAGTAAGAAAAAGAGGGTAGTTTGTTCCCAAGTATAAAAATGAATAACCCTTTAAGATGCACAATCCAGTGCTTATGCGACCACAAAATCAGTCACAGTGATGTAGTTGGTACCACCGTAAAAACTACTAACATCAGTCAGAAATTAACAAGCCCTGAAACAATTGTCTTTCTTTAGAGTTTTTTTAGAGTTTTTTGAAAAATTTAGGCGCTAAAGGTTTACTAAAATTTAATAAAAACGGCAGTTTAAACAATTTCATTTTAGAACGTAATTTTAAGTTACATACCATGTTATTATCATATAAAATACCCCCCAAATTTTACAACATCTTCTAGCAAATTTAAAATAAATTAAGTTATTTGTCAGAATTTAAATACTAAGTATAAGTAATATCAAACAGTTAAAAAAAACAAAAAACAATTATCGATATTGATTGGTTACACGAATTGGTCTCCCCTATTTGATATTAACATAAAATTGTCGTATAACATTTCAATCTTACGACAAAACTTGAAAATTAACGCATTTGCAAAATACACCTAAGTTGATTATTTAAGAAACTATATCAGCAACCTTTTTCCTTTGAGTCTCCGAATAAAAGCTGTTATGGTCTAACCTAAAAACAAGGTTCATCATCTCTTGTTCTTTTTCACTACTTGACACTAGGCTTAGTTTATCTAACAAACCAATTAAAAGTTTCGAAAAATTAATTTCGAAGTTTTTTACAGTTTTCTCAATTTCAACAGGCGACATCTTTTTGTCAAAAGGATGCATTGTTACCTTAGAAATTCTTGAAGTTTCAGCGCCTGGAACAATGTCAAGATTTGAATCAAATCGAATTATAGAGTTACTAAATGTAACACACACGCTCATCAATTTACTAACAATTTTCAAAAGTTCAGGACTTGTTAGCATGCAGTCTTTTAAACACCTATCTAAAAAATCATTATGAAACTCTAAGACGCCATCTATATTCACAACCGAACGCAAGTTAATTTCTAAAATATGCCAATTGGGCTCAATTACTTCAAACATCATATAATATTCAAAATTTTGGACAAAATGAATCATGCGTTGACGAAGTGCAAACGCAACAGAGTACCATGAACGATTATAAAATTTATTTTTTTTTGTGGCTTTGCTACTCGACCATAAATTGCAGAGCAACCTTTCAACGTGTTTTGCGTAGAATAAATGACGGAACAGCATTTGATATTTGGTCAAAGCTTTCTTGCTTAGAATTAAAGACAATGGCCATTTCACTTCATAGTCAAGCGTAAATGCTTCTAGTCCAGAAATTTGCTGCTCGACAGTGTCTTTGTAATTTGGAACGTTCTTGTCACTCGTCACAGACAAAATTCTAAATAACTGAGAAATCAAATCATACGGTAGCAGATCACACTTAAGATCATCTTTAAAGGGATCACTATTTGCTGTACTTGTGCGAACTGCTAATTCTAGTAGAGCTTCGAGACGAGTAGGCACAATATCTAAATTAAAGACATTTTGTATTTTTATGTTAAGTTATTTAATAAAGCATAAAATTGAAAGAAAAAAAATTTTACCATCCATTTTTTTTTTAAGCTCGTCTTCTGCTAAATCCATAAATCCCACAAAAAAATCACCCTGATCGAGCAGAAAATAGTGTTTTATAGACTGCAAGCGCTGCAATAACTTTTTCTCAGTCATTAACATATCGAGCAAAGTATAAGACGCATAATCATAAGCCTTTTCAATATGCTCTACATAATCACGCTCTCTTAAACAATAAACAATCTCCCGAGCATGAGGACAGTTTATGCTTAGGCCGCACTGCCGTATCACGTTTAAGTATTTTCCAGTACGAAGAATCTTCTCTGCTACTCTCTCTAAAAATTTTGGAATTCTCTCTCTTTCAATTGTGTAATGTTGTTCCCAATATTGATCATTAAAATCTTCAGCAACTCGCTCTTTGTGCACAGATTCATGTTCAGCTACAAGAAATTCACCGTACGGATCTTTTATGATACCTAAGAAAATATCGAAATAGAAAATTAGATTTGTCACTATAAAATTGTAAAATAAAATTACTGTGGTAGACTGCATTGCTTTACTAAAATAAAATTACTGTGGTAGATTATTTCACTATTGTATACTTAGCAAAGCAATTCTATCGCTAACACAATTTCAAGTTAAAAAAAATATATCAAGTTTTTTAGTTAAAGGTTCTGAATCTGTTACCAGTCATACTCCTAGAGGATCTGTTTTTTTTTGTTAATTTTATAATTCACTTAATAATAAATGTTTGTGACTGATAAGATTTTAAGATCAGGAAAGATGTAATTTATGTAAATTAAAGGATCAATTTCAGAAAAGAATAGAATACACTGGATTTATCTAAATACCAATTTGTTAATAGATAATAGTAAATATCTGATTGCATAATTACAATCTATGCATAATCATAATTAGACTAGATCAAAATGCAAATATTATAAAGTTAGACCTCTCCTTCCCTTGAGGGGGTTACAAATTTTGTAAGGCAATAATTTTTAAACGTTAAGAAGATATTTTACATTTAAAATTTATCGATAAATATAAATTTAGTTAAGAATTGTAAAAAGGCATTTTATCAACTTGTTGCTCGCGCGTTTGGAGCAAGTATAGCCAAAGTTAAAGAGTTTTTTGGTTCCCAGGCTCCAATCATCGCAGTTTTTTTGCAAAGTATCCTTATTTGACATAAAAGTAAACATAAATGTTTGGAGTTTGCTCCATATCTGGAAGTTAGAATTATATGAAAATATATTATATTTTTTTAAATATGGAAATATGAATTATATAAATATTTTAATCAGGGCTGTGGAGTCGGAGTTGCGACAATTTTAGCTGAGTCGGAGTCGCTAAAAAATATCGCGACTCCGACAGTAATATTTCTTGGTATTGCACGTGCATGTACAAAACATTCAATTAACCTTATGTTCATATTAAACCTCAAAGAACGTTGCATAAATAGACATTTCTCTAATTCGATTGCACAACCATTTTCTCATCATGAAAAAGAGGCCAGTAAGGACAAAAATGTAAACAAATAGCGAAAAACTACTTGAGTAATATTTTTTAATAAGTTAATTATCTAATAAATAATGTATGGATTTAATAGCGACTGCCTTAAAAATAAAATAATTTAGTATCTAATATTGCAATATATAAACAGAAATAGTAAAATAGAAAAAATTTTAATTTGAAAAAATGTGTATCTTTAAAAGAAGATATGTACAATCTATTTACAAAATATGTAAAACCTATTGCGTTTCTTCCTGTGTTCACAAGACACAAGTTCACAATTAATAGTTATATGGACAAATGTTAAATTAAAAAAAAATATTTAAAAAACTTAATTAATATATAATAAAAATTTTTTGAAACTGGATTGGTAGCTCAACTATGCAACCACTAGCAACTCCGGATGAACTTGTTAACAAGTCCATCTGGACTTGCACCAAGCCAGTGGTCTTTTAAAACATTTTAAAATCGATTTAAAGGCATATTAAATTGAAATAATTGTTCTTACACTAAAATAAATGAATTTTCCTTACACTAAGAGAAATGCAAACCTTAAAAGAAAATGATTTAGTCAAACAATAAATAGTTTATACTGGTTCATTTTCTACAGGAGAATTATTTCTTTAAAAACATCACTCATTTGGCTATTATCCACAAGTCAAAAATGGACTTATCTGGACTAATGTTTGTTAATAGTTTATGCTTATAACAAAATTATTATTGCAAACACTGACTTTGATTAATGCTAGTTTTTAGATATTACTGATAAACTTTTTTTAATAAAAAATATATTTTATCGTGCCTAATAATAAATATTATATTTCTTATATTTTAATGTTTTATAAGAACTGTTTCATAAAGTTTACATAAGTTTTCATAAGCAGTTTACAGTCCAAATTTGATTAGTTGATCCATATAAAACATTTTTTTTCATTTCATAAAACATTTCCTTTCGTTCTTGCTTTTTTTAATTATTTGTTGTATGGCACATTCCAAATTTTTATGCTGCTATTGGTGCTATTGTTGTTGACTTTCTATAACCTCTTCGTTCATTTAAAAAGGCAAGAATGTTTAGTGTTACATCTAAAGGTTTACGCAGATCATTAAATAAAAAACCCTATCAGCCGTTACAGAATCATCTCTCTCTCAGAGTTACAGAATCATCTCTCAAGCTATGAGAGATGATTCTGTAACTCTCGTTACAGAATCATCTCTCATAGCTTTTTTTTGTTAAGGCAATTGCTTAACTATGAAAAACAAATATCAGAGCCAAAAAAATTAGTTTACAAACAAATGATAATGCACCAGAAAGAGCAATTCCAACTAATACTTATAGGTAATGCAGTAAACTGTACGTTGGAAGGTCTTTGACAAAACAATTTGATACAGTTAATAACTTTCACTTGAGGATATGTCTCTTTAAAACATTTAGGTATATTATGTTTAAGTGATTTAAATTTGGCCAAATTTGATTTGCACAAAGTTTAAGGTGTATAAAACTTGGCTGTGTATATAAGGTATTTCTAAACAGATTGGTGCTTTAAATAACCAGATAAGTAAGCAAGTGAAACTTCTTCAAGTAAAACTTCAAGTCTAAGCTATGTTAAAAACATAAATAGTTGGTGAATCAGTTTCATTTTTGACCGCGTATGGATTCTGCTGTGAAATATAAAGGAGATAAAAACAATTCTTTAGGTCGCCTTTTCTCAGAAAATTATTTTCCATGTTTTCACATTCTTTTTTAAGATTTAAACATTCAAATAAAACTTTTCATTTTTTCATGCCAGTAAATGAGTTGAAATATTTAAAATATTTAATTTTCAACATTTTCGTAGTTAAAAATATTACTTTTGAATTGTTTTTTTTTTATGTTTTTGAACTTTTATATTCTTCAAGCAAGCTTCTATAACTTTCATAACATACTTCTAACTTTTTTCAATGAATGTTTTTTTGGATAACAAAAGTTTACATTTTTTATTATCAACTTTTTCCGTAGAATCGATTATTGTATGAGTTTTTTTTTTAAATATTAGCTGTAAAATCTAGATATTTTGACTTTTTTCATGGAGATTTTCTAGGTAATTGCTTTTGCAGTGTTTTGAATGTCAATAATTCGTTTTTCCAAGCTTTGTAAACATCGAATTTTGTAAGCATCAACTTTATTTTTCTCCGTATTGCTATTGTAAAACGAACTTCCACATAGTGTTATAAAACAATACATTCTGCTTCAATCTTTTTTCACTTCCTTGTTGGAGTTAGACTTGTTTAAAAGAGAAAAATTATTATATAAATTTAATCATTTTGAATTTGAGTTTTTATCAGTTTATATTTTTGTCCTTACTGGCCTCTTTTTCAAGCTGAGAAATTAGTTGCGCAATCGAATTAGAGAAATATCTATTTGTCAAAAAAAAAATTTCAATTTATCGCGCAATATTTTTTAAAGAATTCAAAGAATTTTTTAAAAATTTTGCTTTGGAGTTGGAGTCGGAGTTGTACTCAAAAAATTTCAACAACTGGAATCGGAGTCAGAGACGTTACTTTTTTTTTACGGCTCCACACCCCTGATTTTAATTTAGACATTTTATTTTTGTTTTAGTAAAACAAATCGTTTGTAAATGCTTCCGCCCCTGTACTTATTTATTTAGATAAATAAATAAACAAAATATTTTAATTAAAAATTTTGTGTGTTTGCTTTAATTATAAGTCTCTTTTCACTGAACTCATCAAATAATAAAAATATATTCTCAGAGTGATAAGTTCCAATCTACAGGCTCGACGATACCATAGGGGTTGAAATAAATATACACAAATAAATAAAAATATGAATTATATAAATATTTTAATTTAGACATTTTTATTTTTGCTTTGCTAAAACAAATCGTTTGTAAATGCAATTAAGGGGGGTCATCCATAAAGCACGCCACCCTAAAATTGTGAAAATTGTGCCCCTCCACTTTGAAACCCGTGTCTTCGGCCATGAATCTAATTTCAAAATTGTGTATTATTGTGCCTTAAAATAATACTGATATTCAATTAGTAAACTTTGTGAATTTTAAGATAAACAAACTTTATGATTTTGTGAGGTGGTAACATTGAATAGTCTAAATTCTATATGGAATATATCGCTTGGTCCCATGATAAATATTTACCATCTATATTTCTTATGAGATCAAAGTTTGTTTTTTTTGAGCTTTGAGAAATTGCACCTTTCTCGACAATTTGAATGCAATAATCGTTAGAATTAACAATAAATTTAAATGGCGATCAATTGTCATTTGATCTCCATTAAAAGTAATTGTTGTTCCAAAATATTTAAGAATTTCAAAAATATTTAAAGAGATGAAAGTATATTAGTTTTCTTTTAACATAACTCGTTATCAAAGTAAATAAATGCTAGTATTATATAGTAAAAATTTTTAACTTGTGTTGTTTGAATTTTTTTTTTGAATTTATTTTTATTAAGTTTTTAATAATTTTGAATTAAACTTTTCGAGAAAAAAATGGAAGATATTAATATATTTTATTGGCTTCTTATTTATTTTATTTGTTTTCATAATTTGCATTTTTGTTTATTACTTTAAATTATTTTGATAAGTTAGAAAGTCTAAATAATAAAGCAAATATTTATATATATTTTAATACAATAGTATGTTATATTAACTATAATGTTTTAACTACAATTTTTTTTAAACATATTTACTTCCAACAAGGTTGCAATCAACCACTTGGGAGGTAACAGAAAAGGAAGAAAAGAGTTGAAAACTGTATGAGTCAAGAAAACATAAAGATGGAGGAGAATTTCAAAGCATTAATGCGCGAGATTTTTTTTTGATGCGCAACTAAGAGTAGTTTTTTTTCATTTTAAATCAATTTATTCAGCGCGTTTTGTAAACGGACTCCTCATATATTATTGCATCGTTTGAAACAATAAAGTCATTTAAAAACTTGTTTTAAATTATTAAATTTAAATTAACAAACTTATATAAAATCCATTATTAAAAAGAAAAAAAAAAGAAGTTGCATACCCTCATAAATCCATCTTTGCATTATTTCAAAGTATGCTACACAAGCAGCCTGCGTGAGATACAAGCACAAATCTCTCCCCTTTGGGTCTCCAGTAAAAGCTTCTGTTTTTTCATGCAGCACAGTTAGTATTGAAGCCCCTCTGCAAGACCCTTTCTCTATAGTAACTGATATATTAGAAAGAATATCTAATGTCTTCATAGAGGGTTGTATGTAAAACCAAAGTTTTTGCAATGTGAGTAGACCACTTCTAAATTGCTTTTCAAGCTGAGCAACAAAAATAAAGTAATCTTTAAGAAGAGATCGCATAGCAGAGCACAAGCCATGACTAACTAACCCTTTTTCAAAACGTGATCCTTCTTCTATAAACTGACATACTTTAGAATAGTTTGTACAAATTGGTAAAATTCGGTTTATAATTTCTTGTAAAGAGGTATCTAGAGTTTTATCAATAACAAATGTAGTTATGCGCTTTTTTTCCACTTCATCTTTAATTGTTATGTATTTGCCTTCAATTCCCATAAACAAAAACAAAAGATCTTCTATTAACATAACTTGTTGAGCTTTTACTGGCAAGGTTCCGATTGCTAATGGTTCATTGTAATTTGACCGATATACTTCAACAAAGTTATTTGTAAGAAAAGGCCTCTCAAAAGCCCAATTAGGCAAAACAGGCAAACCTTTTCCAAGCTTCTTCGCGTGTTTATCACGCAACGCTTTAACTAGATCATCAGTTGAGCTTTGGGAAGCGTTTGCTGATATATTTGCTAACTTAGTTTTAAGATCAAGGACATCCTGTTGAGACATAAAAGTAGATTTAGGAATAGATTTTGTTAGTTCTTCAAGTTCTTTACCTGCTTGAGTTAATGGTGCTGAAGTTTTTCGAGCAGGAACAGTACTCAACTTTAGCTTTCTGCGTTCTTTTTCGTTATTTTCAACAAAATTAGCGATACTGTTATCTTGAACAATCAGTGACAATAAGTACACAAATGAATCCAACTCTCTTACATTTTTTGACTTTAATTCTTCATATTTTTTTTGGAACTCAGAAGGTACTGGACTGTTTTCAGCAATTTTACGCTTAGCAGTATGGCTAGATACTTGTGAAGTAACATAGGGAGTAATGTCTTTTGTAAGAAGCTCTGCATAAACCTCAGGTCCATCACCACCTTGTATCTCAAAAAGTTTCAGTAATTCAGACGCATGATGGTGAATTTTAAACTCGCTCATTTTGTCTTTAATTTGAACTTTTGTGTTTAACTGACTTTCATTTTTCCTTTTTCTAAAATGTAATGAAACAGTATTTAAAACAGAAATTAATTAAGCGAGTAAAAAGTCTTTTTAAAAAAATCAAAATAATTAAAATAAATAGCAAAAGTGTTTTTAACAATTTTTTTATAAAAAAATACAATAAAAAGTTGTAAAAAAGTCATAACAAAATAAAATCATTTTATTGGTCAAAAAAAAAAAAAAAATCATCGAACAAATAAATTGTAATAAACCATTAGATAAAACTAAAAAATACAACAAGATATCATAAATACCAGAAAAAATGAATATCACAGATAGAAAACATCCAACATCAAATCATTATCAAAAAGACATTCAACAACATCAAACCAGCAACAATAAAAACACGTAAAATAAAAAAATTTTAAATTTTTGAAATTTATAAACTATAATAAAATTTTATATTTCTCAACACGAGGGACTTTGTTAATAACTAATCTTCCATCATACGATAAGGATGCAAAAGTCCATGGATCAGCGACAGACCACTCAACAGCATAAACACTATCTTCATGCTCATCATAAATATTAATAATGCGATCAGAATCAGGCTCTTTTGACTCACTGTTATCCTCATCATCAATATGACCATATGGCTCAGAAGATAATGAAGCAATATTAGATAAAATAACACGACTGTCACTGCTGGAAGTTAAAACTAATTGATCATGAAAATTATTGTATCGCACACTCCATATCCAGTGTGAATGATCTGTTCGAATCATGAGGGGGCTATGTGTATTCCGCGTATCCCAAAACTTCACTTTGCAGTCATCTGAGCAGCTAACTAAATAATATTGTTTATTTGGATTGAAATCCATATCACGAACAGTTTGGGAGTGAGCATCTTCAATGGTAAAAGCGACAGACATACTGCGCAAATCATATCCTTTTACTGTTGTATCAATGGCTGCTGCTATTTGCGATCCACTGTGATGAGGACTAAATCTTCCATTACTATACTGCAATTGAACTTTTCCTTCTAAAGAAATACTGTTTGTAAGTTGTACAGTGTTGTTATCCCATATATCAATATGGTGTTCTGAGATTGTTACTAATTTGTTGCAATCACCAGCTAAATTCCATAGAACTTTACGTACATGACCATGACCAGCATCGAGATCACATATATGTTGCAAGCTATAATATTGACTAGTTTCTAACATACTGTTGGAATGAACAGGTCCCATATCATCTAATGGTGGAATTTGCCATAATGAGGCTTTTGTTTGAATTTTATTATCCAGTGACACATTGTAACAAGTAGAGATAACATTTTTGTTTAAAGGATTTGAATTAATGTCCCATATTTCACCAGCTTCATGTGTCACTATGTTTTTGTTAATCAAATTGGTTTCCTCATCAAACTCAATTAAATGAACTTGGTTTTTACGCTTTAGAGATTGTGTTCCAACAAGAAAACGAACTGCATCAGTATCACCATGCTGAGGACATAATGAACGAGCCTGAAATTCAACACCATATATAACTGCACCATCATCATTCATTGCTTTCTTTTGTAAAAGTTTTTTTATACTTAATGACTAAAACTTAAAAACACAACTTTAATTAGAAATCAATTGCACATGATATATATATATATATATATATATATATATATATATATATATATATATATATATATATATATATATATATATATATATATATATATATATATGTATATATATATATGTATATATATATTTATATATATATATACAGGCCTCGGCAGGAAGCAAGAGCTTTAGCTCACACTCCCATAAAATGATATACAGGAGCAATTTACAGGCCTCTCAAAAGTTTAATTACCATTGTAACTAAAATAAAAAACGCAAAGTCAAAAAAATTTAATTCATTGGATAATAAACAGGTATGGTTTTTGCAACAAAAAAATTTCAAGTCTAAAGATTTTGTTCACAGCGCAATAAGTGACATTTGTATATTATTACAAGACGTATATTATTGTTACATTAACATTACAATAGGGTGGTCCAAATTTTATACATTGTTTAAAATGCAGTTCCACAACCCTAAATGTGTTTAGGGGAACCAAAGTTTCTTAAACATCAAACAGGCCCCTAATATTATCAAGAAAAAAAGTTCTTCAAAAGTATATTATGTTGGGTCTCAAAAGAAGCGAAATTTTATAAAAGTTTTAAAAATAGTTATTATTTTATAAATTGCATTTTAAATAATGTGTAAAATTTGAACCGCCCTAACGTTACAAACATATGCCTGTAACAAGTATACAACCAAATTTTGTATTTAATAAGCAATTGTTATATAAATAAACAAATATTGGTATGGCTCGCCATGTTCGTTTTAGGAGAGCTTCTCTCTGCTCTCGTGCTCATTTATTCCCGCCAAGCCCTATATATATATATATATATATATATATATATATATATATATATATATATATATATATATATATATATATATATATATATATATATATATATATATATATATATATATATATATATATATATATACATATATTTATATATATATATATATATATATATATATATATATATATATATATATATATATATATATATACATACACACATATACATATAATATATATATACACATACACATATACATACATATAAATACTATTATTCAGTCTGTATAAATTATTATTATTTTAACAACTCCTTATTATTATAAGGTACTCATTATACGTTGAAATTACAATATACGTTGTGAATATATATATATATATATATATATATACATATACATATATATACATGTACATATATATATATATATATATATATATATATATATATATATATATATATACATATATATATATATATATATATATATATATATATATATATATATATATATATATATATATATATATATATATATATATATATATATATATATATATATATATATATATATATATATATATATATATATATATATATATATATATATATATATATTCAACTCTCACCTATCTACTGATAACCCAATCAATTTTATTTTAATTAAAATGGATTGGGTTAATAGTAAAATATATAGGCAGTAAAAATGTCTATGAAATTACTGCCTGTAAAATTTAAGAATTGTAAATTGTGTCATTTTTAAAAACAAATCCAAAAATAGTATACCAATACATCAAAAGCCAAAAAAATTAAAGTTTCAAGTTCTACTGGCATAGTTTAATGGCATACTATGCCATTGGACAATATATGCCAGACATAGAAATAAGAAAATCACCTGACAAAGTAGAATGTCTTAACAAACAATTTGAATCTGCATTTTTTAAAGTTGATTGCAGGACCAAGTTTACATTTCTAATTAGATCTTTCCAGATATGCAAAATCGATTGAGTTGATCTTAATGAAGCAGCTGTAGTTACTGAACTAAAACAGTTGAAGAAGCACAAAGCAATTTGCACAGATCTCTTTTCTAATAATATCATCATTTAAAATAGGTATAATACCTGGCATTTGGAAGGAAGCCAATGTGACACCAATATACAAAGAAAAAGGGAATAAATGTAATCTATTCAAGTATACACCAATCTTTTTAACCATGTTGATATGTAAAATCATGGAGACTGTTGAAAAAACCCATGATGACCATCTAGTTAAGCACAACTTGATTTCAAAACAACAACATGGTTTTGTTAGACAAAAGTCAAGCTTATGGTTTTAATGGAAAACTAATGAACTAGAACCTTTTCATGTGGAAAAAATCAAAGAGTTCTAGTAGACGACTCTTAATCGCAATCCAATCGCAATGGGTAAAAGTTTAAAGTTGTGTGCTGCAGGGATCTGTTTTTAAACCATTAGTTTTTGCAGTGTTTATAAACATACCTAATATTGTTAAGTGCTCCCTAAAACTCTTGGCTGATGATAGCAAATTAATAAATATTATAAAAAACCAACATGACATTAAACAACTTCAAATAGATTTTGATGCTGTGACAACAAGGGTAACTATCTGGAAAATTGAATTTAATAGAAACAAATGCAAAGTGTTAACATCAAAAAAATCAAGCAACACAACAACACATATTCCTATCATTAGTGAAGTACCTATCATTAGTGCATCGCTCAAAAGAACACTTAAACAATGGAATCCATAAATGCCTAAAACACTCTATAACACATATGTGAGGCCACACCTAGAATATAGCAAGCCAGCATGAGCTCCAAAAAACAAAGCTGATGAGAAGATAGTATAACCAGTTTAATAAAGAGCCACCAAATTATGCCAATCAATAAGGGGTCTTGAATACGAAGAACAATAAGTTCTCAACATCCATTCAGTCAAAGACAGAAGAACAAGGGTTGATGCAATTCAATACTTCAAGGAAATTGAATGTCTTGACATTTTATCTTGATTTTATCCATCTGCAAAGCCTAGTTAATAAGTCTTGTAAGTCATCTAAGTCTAGTTAGTAAGTCTAGCCCTGATGACTATTCTTAACAGACTGGTGCAGTTGAATGAAGAAAAACTGATTAAACAACCAACAAAAAACTTTTGTCAAAGAGAACATTTTTTCCTAAACTGAGTAATTGACATTTGGAATAAACTTTTGTATGTAATTAAAAACTTCAAAACAATAAATTTAAAATCATTTATAATATCCATACAAAAACAATGTAAAACTATATACAGTAGCGTCCAAAAGTTTGCGGACAGGCAAAAAAATAAAGAATTTTAATTATATTTCAGCACATACTTTACTAAAGCCAACATATTATATACCAATTAAAAGGTTTTCAAATTTACAATTAGGTTTTGAACAAATAATTATTATCTAAATAATATTTTTAAATTGGTATACAAATCAATGGTCTTTGATAAGTTCAAAAATTTGCGGACAAAGCATTATTTTTTAAAATAGTTAAAATATTTCAACAATATTTGATCAAAATTTTTGCAAAAGCAAAATCACATTAGTATTTTGTAGGATATCCTTTACAATCAAGAATAGCTTGGCATCTATGAGGCATAGAGTCAACTAAATTAATGCAAACGTCAATGGGAATTAAGTCCCATAATTCTTTGATTTTATTAAATAAATCAGCATAATTTGTAGGCTTAATTCCTTTCATTTGACGGTCAACATGTTCCCATAGATGTTCAATGGGATTTAAGTCATGTGATTGAGATGGCCACTTCAAAACATTAACTTTACTCTCTTTAAAAAACTCTAAAACCGATTTAGCTGTATGTTTGGGATCGTTATCCTGTTGGTAAATCCATCCTCGAGGCATTTTATCCTTTGCATATGGTAACATAATAGTCTTACATATATCTTTGTACTTTTCTTGATTCATATTCTCAGTAATTCTATGGAGAGGACCAACTCTATTTCGGCTAAAACATCCCCAAACCATTACATTACCTCCTCCATGTTTTACGGTAGGCAGTTGGTGTTTAGGTTTGTACCTAGTACCTACTGGATGTCGAACATACCTGATTCCATCGGATCCAAACAGCATAAATTTGCTTTCGTCACTAAAAAGAATTTTTGACCATTTTTGACTACTCCACTTTAGATGTTTTGATGCAAATTCCATTCGGGCATTACGGTTTTTCAAGGAAACTAATGGTTTTTTAGCTGGGCGTCTTCCAAACAAATTAGCGTGACGTAAACGACGTTTTATAGTAGAAATACTACAATTCATTCCATAGAAACGTCTCATTTGTACGTTTAAATCGACAGCTGTCAAACGGGGATTTTCTTTGCTTAGTATTACAAGCTTTTTATCCTGATAACGCGTTGTTTTGCGTGGCCTTCCTGATTGATTTTAATTTTTTGTAGATCTAGTAAGCTCAAATCTCTTCATAATTTGTCCAACAGCAGACTTACCAACTCCATAAAGCTGTGCTGTTTTACGAAACGAGTTTCCATTCTGAACTGATCTCAAGATCAATTTTTTTACTGGAGATGAAATACCTTTCTTAGATCCCATGATCTCAATCACTTATATATAAAGTTTTGAAATTATTTCCACAAAGTATTTGTTTATAAAATCAACAAATTAGCTATTTTGTGGTGAAAATGTTAAAAGCGTTAGTTTGTCCGCAAACTTTTGAACTTATCAAAAATCGCCATTTTGTTAACCAATTTTAAAATGATAATAAAATATTCATTGTTTGCTCAAAACATAATTGTTAACTTGGAAACCATTTAATTGGTATATAATATGTTGGCTTTAGTGAAATATGTGCTGAAATTTAAGTAAAATTCCTGATTTTTTTGCCTGTCCGCAAACTTTTGGACGCTACTGTATGTATGATCCAGGTGTCGCAGTCTCCCATATTCTTTTGGTCAAATCTTCTTTAAGCTGCAGCTTATGCTTAGAATTATTATTATTATTATCAATATATATATATATATATATATATATATATATATATATATATATATATATATATATATATATATATATATATATATATATATATATATATATATATATATATATATATATATATATATATATATATTAAAAGTCACATCCCTAAAAAGTATATATATATATATATATATATATATATATATATAT